ACCCAGCTTGAGTAAATATTTATAGTGTAGCATTTTAACTTCTTTAATCCCTTTTTCCCCACAAATATTTGTGTTCTTAGTGGTTGTTTCAGGATTTATCATAATACCTTAATTTACAAGGTTACAATAACTGCTTTCAAATGTCTGCAGTCTCAGATTTATGCTTCCAATTCCAGTAAGCTGCAGAAACATTTGTGCTCTAGAACTCCATCCCATCATCCCCTTTACACTAGTGTTGTGCATATTAATATATATTTTGCAGACTGACTATGCATTGTTGTAATTTTTTATGTTTTTATGTCCTTTAAAGAAGGCACATGGTAGAACAAGCATTTACTTGTATATTAGCCATGAGAATCCTCACTTATAGTCATGCCTGATTATTTGTGCCAGTGGATTTCAGTTTCCACCTGGTGTGATTTCCAAAACATGATTATTTCTTCCTAGCTCCTTTCAACTTTATTATGTAAATGTATTGCATTTTGAGAGCTTGTTTGGAGGTTCTAGCAGGGGAGTGCAGCTACTCGTATACCCTTGACCAAAGACCGGTCCTCCTCTATTCAGGGAAGGTCATCCTCTTTGACCAAGCGCGCAGCTTCAGGAGGGATGCACATGGAGCGATGAGGGAGGAAGGGGACACCCGCCTATCCAGCCAGATCAGCCGAATCAACCCTAGCGATCAATGAGGTGACAGATGTTGCAGCCAGATCGCCCTTACATCTGTATTGCATTTTGAAACAGTTCAATCCCACAATACACTTATATGTATGCTCACTTATACAGCCTCAACCCTCATGGGTGGAGCTGAAATCAGGACCATGTATATGCTGAGTGCTCTGTCCAGATGAGCCACACCCCCAATCCCTACAGTTGCTTCTTAAATGAGCTAATGAAAGAAGAGAAATAGGATCTCATAACAGCAACTACAATTGCTTTTAAGGGTGTTGGTCTTTTTTTCTTAACGTTTTCAATTAGTGTGAGGTAAATTGATTTTAACCTTAATAACATTAATTTTTAAATTATTAAAATATGATTATATCATTTCCTCCTTTCCTTTTCCTTTCTCCAACCTTGTCCATCCCCTTTCTCTTAAATTCAAGGCTCCTTTTTCTTTGATTATTATTGTTACATATATATTATAGTTGCATATATATACATACTTATACATACATACACACACACACACACACACACACACACACACACACACACACACACACACCATGGTCAGTTTGTTTAGTGTGGCTTATATGTATCTAATTTTAGGGCCAATCACCTAGTATTGGATAACAAATTAGAGGGCTCGCCCCTGGAGAAGACGAATTCTCCCTCTCTCAGTCGTCATTAGTTTCAGTAGTTCTTTGTCTGGGCCTGGGGATCCATGAGATTTCCCTCTTCCATAACAGCATGTCTGTTGATCTTGTCATTGTTCAGGTCTTGCTTAAGTAGCCACACTGTTGGGATACCAGGGGTGTAGTTTCCCTGTCATTTCTAGGAGCCATGATCTCACAGCAGACGTTTCTGGTCCTTTGCCTGCTACAATCCTCCTGAGCCTTAGGGGCAGGAGTTGTGTGGTAGATATATCCACTGGGGCTCACATCCATTGATCAGTTGATCTCTGCCTTTTGACCATTTGTGGTTTTCTATAATGGTGTCCATCTGTGGCAAAGAGAAGCTTCTTTGATGAGGGCTAGGAGCTACACTTCCGTAACTCTAAGGATACATTTTAGAATGCAGTTGGGAATTTTGCTGGTCTAGTAAAGTGGCCATAGGTTTTCCTCTTAGATCTGTGACTTCCCAAGCCCCGAGTAGTTGGCTAGGTTCCAGTACCAGGCCTGATTTCCCTCCTGTTCAGCCTTCAGTACAATAAGAGAACAGTTGGTTACTGCCAAGACCTGAGTGCCACTATTACTCCTTTAGGGATATATGCTGTCTGCTATGCTGGTTGTAACTTTAAAGTATTTCTCATCATGTAAGTCTCTTGGCAAAGAATTCACTTGTTTTTTGTTTGTCTACAATTTTATTCTCTTTTAGCCTTTGAAAAAGTTTTCCTGATTGTAAAATTGGTTGGCAGTCAGTTTTCTTTCAGCATGATGAATACAGCATCTCTCTCCTCTTCTCTATCCCTTCCTTTCTTTCTGCCTTTTTTGAGGATGGGGTCTCATGTAGCCCAGGCTAGCCTTGAACTTAATGTATAGCCAAGGGTGATCTTGAAATTCTGATCCTCCTGCTTTCATCATCCAAATGTTGGGATTATAGGTGTCCACCACTCTCCTGACTTGAATATGTCCTTCTCCTGCCCTTGGCCTCCATTGTTCCTGTGCAAGTTCAGCAGTCAGTCTCACTGGGAATGGGGGACTTTTGACAATTGGATGTATTCCTGGGGTGGACACCGCCATGTTTGATCTGTTAGATTACTTAAGAGTAACTCATACATATTTCCTTAGTGCTCCAAGGCTGGTTCTGCGTTAGGACACAGGTTCTTTTCTTTGACATGAGCATTAAGGCATTGCCAGTACAACAAAAGTTTCACATGGTTTGGACAAAGGGAAAAATAAAATGACAAAATATCAAGATAATCTAGAAACACCAAGGATTTTGTAGTGAGTAGACACTGATTTTGATTCTCAAGTACTAGATCTCAATATCAGTTTAGTATGTGTCTCCTAGCATTTGTTTCAGTGTGTGGGTACATGGATGGGTACATGGGTACATGGATGGGTACATGGGTACATGGATATATACATGGGTACATGGATGGGTACATGGGTACATGGATATATACATGGGTACATGGGTACATGGATATATACATGGGTACATGGATGTATACATGGGTACATGGATGTATATACATGGGTACATGGATGGGTACATGGGTACATGGATGTATACATGGGTACATGGATGGGTACATGGGTACATGGATGTTTACATGGGTACATGGATGGGTACATGGGTACATGGATATATACATGGGTAGGTGAGTGAGTAGGGATTTGGATAAAATAGCTGAATGACAGGGAGACAAATAGAAATAAAATATATCAGACTGCTACATAAAATTGATCTTCTGCTAGAAACTGTAGTGAAAACTGCTGTTAGTCAGTTTGTTGGCTTGGAAGAGGTCTGATATGGGATTTTTTTCAGTATTGGAAGGCATCTCCTTGTCTTTACTTCACTTTTTAACACAAAGAAAAACGCACTCAGGTCAGCACTGGCCCTCACGATGGCTGCACATAGCCCACACCACCTGTAGATGCTGTGACAGCCATGTGCCAGTATTCTACAGTTTCCCAGCTTTCCTAGACCATCTCCTCAGTGCTTATCTTATCAGGAAATGCAAACAATGGGAAGTCCTGGGAAGAACTTTCAGTTCACTCTTTTTAGAAAAAACTTAGGCTTTTCATGAATGATTCATTCATTCATTGGTTTCTGAAGAATGGTTTGGTGTTCGGCAAGGTTCAGGCTGGTCGGCCATTGAAAAGAAACAAAGGGCGTACAGGTGAAACTGGTTTTGCTGAGTTGTTAGACACATCGCTGTGGTTGTTCTCAGCAGTAAAATATCCTGATTGAGCTGTTCCCTAAAGTCTGCTTTGCCAGAAATAATTCAGAGGAGCATTCCAACAAATTGTCAATTCTGCATTTAGCATGAATGATTCTTACAGCTGACAGAATGTTTTTATTAACCTTCAAAGACATTGAAATGATGAGTTTGGGCCATAAGAGTGTACACTCCTTGGAAAATGTCCAACCGGGCTTCAGAGATTTTGACCCATCTGGGTAGTGATCAGAAGTGTGCATGATACCAGGATGGAAGACTTGTGCCCGGGTCCTAGACTGGGCTTTCCCATGGCATACAACTACAATCACTCACTCCTGCCCATTCCTAAGCCTACTCCACCTCACCTTTGCCCATGAAATACAGATCTGTCTATCATACAGAGTTAGCTAGGGTGGACACAGAGCCAAAGCAAGCCACACAGCTCCTCGTCTGTGAGTTGCTCTGAAGTCCCCTGCCCTAGTGCTTTTATTAGCCAGTGGTTCTCTGTATAGATGGATAGTTAAGAGATCTTGAGTCGCCCTGCAGAAGCACAGATGACTCACTACATCGTCTTCCCAGTGTGACTGTTCTGGCTCTCAGATCTCCAGGGACCAGAAGTGTCCAGGACTAATGCAGAGCCCCAGCATTTGTGAGACAGAGCACCAACCTTGAAGAAGTTCCGGGGCTTTGCCTAAATGCCTGTATTTGCACAAGTTGCTGGGGGTGGCAGGAAATCTCCCAAGGCTCGTGGCCTGTAAGACTGCAGGTTTTCATCATAGCCAGCCTCCTCCCTCTCCTCTCCACCGGGTGGAGAATCAGCTGCTCTCTGTGGACGGTTGGTTTGCTCTCTCTCTGCAGCTGTTCCCTCTTGTCACTGTTTGTCTGACTGTGTTCGTGAATAAGAGATGTAATGTGTTGGTGCTTCATTTCAGGATGAGGCAGGGGCAGTTTTGAGGATTTGGTAACAACAGTTAATGAGCTTTTTTTTTTTAAATGGAAAATGGAAAGCCCTATGTCTTCTACGTGGGTAAAGTTTAAGCCAACTAAGTGATATTTTTTACCATGGATAGATGAAATTTCTAGAATTTGAAAATCTGGGAGAGACATTCAATATAAGATTATAATTTGGTTCCTCTAATGTTGTTGTTTCAGTCTCTCATTTATATTGTTATTAGAGTAACACTTCTATCCTGGTATTTGGGCAGAAGTCTTTTGGTATCTGCAGGGCATTGTTCCAACACCCCTCTACACCAGTTCCCCAAATAACAAAGTATGTGCATGTACCCTGCGTGCATCCTCTCCTTCTCTTTAATCATGTTTAATTTACAGTGCTCCATGAAATACAAACACTGTGCAAATAGTAGTTGTCTGTATTGTTTAGGGAATGATGCTAAAGATTGTATATGTTCAGTATGCACAAAGGTACTTCTTTGAATAATTTTATTCTGTAGTTGGTTGAATCCACAAGTAGAAATGTGGGACCCATGGGTATTGAAGACCAGCTATATTTGCTTCAGAGGGGAGCTGAGAGGCTTGCTGAACTTGGACAGACATCCTGGTGGTCGGACACATTAATGTGACGTGGCTTCCCTGTCCCGCATCACTGCCATGGCGACCATAATACAAACCTTGTCCGCTGTTCGGCTTGGTTTGGGTACCTTTTTTCTAACTCTCTCTGTTCAGTTTGCACTTAGCCCACCTTCTGCCTGTATCCTGGAAGAATCCAGAAAAGCCTGTGAAACTAACATCGCAGAGTTTGGCGTTGCACCTGGCCAGAAATTTAATGAGAAAGCAACTTGACTGAAAAATACCATGGGGATTTGGCTTTCTATTTCCCCATTAGCCTAGAAAAATTAAGAATTAATGGATCTCAGACATTTTCCACTTCTTGCTGCCACCAAGCCTCTGGGAGTGAAAAATTGTAGGTCTCTCTATCTTTTGCTGCCCACACCGGAAAGATCATTCAAAGCTATGGAGTCTACTGGGAAGAAAATAGGAAATGCAAAGGCATTAGAGAGAAGGATTCAGTAGAATGCAAATCTAAGTAGAAAACGCCGTGAACTGGAAATGTGCTCACCCATGGCGCTGAAGTCTTAGTGTTATGATTATTGCTGAGGAAAGCAGGTCGTATAAACACAGCTTAGAAAAGCTGGAGACTGGCATTTCATGAGGAAAATGGCAGCCAGAGCCACTTCCCCGAGGCTTCATAAGTGCTAAGTCTGTTTAATGTGACAGCTCCTAATAACTCTGGGTCCCTCCCAGAAGCGTGTGGAGGTAGTGTTGGGGCTCTGCAGTCTAGAGGGAGTTCAAAGGAGGCTAGACGTCAGCATGTACAGACCAAGAAGATGTGACCAGGGAGCTTAAAAAACTGTTTGGTTGTTCACGCAAGAGGCCTGGGAGCTGGTGGGAACAGCAGCTTTGTTCTGCTCCAAGGGATGATTGATTGTCTGTGGATTGAAGCAACTGAGCCTCGGCCCTTTCTTGTGTCTGCTACCTTTTCCTCACTTCTCATCTTCCCTTTCTCTGTCCTCACGCTTTCTCTTGGTATCTCTGACCCTTGAAACCCCTGGGGTAAAAATGCCCCATAGTAGTGACTTTACATCACTCTGATGGAAATTCCTGACCTACAACTCTTAAGGCAGGAGTTACTTTGACTCACAGTTCCTGAGGTTTCAACCCGTAGTCCTTGGCTCCGTTCCTTATGGTGACAGGAGGCTCTTCACTGTGTGGCAGCTGGGAAGTAGATGGAGAGGATGCTGGTGTAACGGGATCTTGTTTTCCCTCCTGACTCCAGCGGCCCCAGACTCTGGGATGGTGCCAGGCCCATCTCCCCCTCTTAGTTAATGTTTTAAGAAACGTGTTCAGATACACCCCGAGGCCCACTTTACTAATTTACCACACACTTCCCAGTCTAGTCAGGTTGACCATCAAGATTAACCACATAGGGCTGAAGGGATGGCTCACTGGGTAAGAGCATTTTCTACTCTTCTAGAGGACCTGAGTTTGGATCTCAGCACCCACATCTGGTGGCTCACAACCACCCGTAATTGTGGCTCCAAGGGAGCTGAGTCCTTTCTGGCTTCCATGGGTTTCCACACACATGGCAGATGTTCACAAGGACACATACACACACACATAAGTTAAAAAACAAACCTTTAGAAATAATTTACCATTACATACTCCTATTAATCACTTGGTTGTAGGGTGGTTTGGGGGAGGCAAGGGACAGTCTCTTCCTTCCATCCATGGTATGTTTCACCTGTTGTTTCACCTGACATCAAAAAGGAAAGGAGAGCCTAGAAAGGGCAGGGGTGTGCTTGGCTAGGTTAACCAGGCCTGTCTTAGGAAATATGTTGTCACTGATGCAAGTTCAGGGCAAGGCCTTTGATCGCAAGTTCTGTGTTGTAACACACAGCTTGACAGCTCTGGCTGAGTTCAGGGTTCAGCATTAGCATAGGAACCCTCAGACAGCTCTGCTTCCTCAACCTTCATGATGAGTGTGTTTCTCAGGCTATTCAAACCAGAGTCTGTGGGTGAGCATGGTTGGTGTAAGCCATGGCTTGGCCATCCCAGTATTTTTGCGGTGATGTGGGATGTGCTTCCATCTGCCTGCAACTTCCCCCACGAGCTCCCAAAATAGCTACAAAATCCTTCAAAACGCACTGCTATTTTCAGACTTGCTTCCACTTAGAATAATTAGTTTCAATCATTACTCACAAGTTTAGTGCCTAATTGGGAAAGAAGAGCTTATTTTATTTGCCCTAAAACTGATCTCCCCCACCCCCTCACTTCTAAGAGCCAGTTTTCGAAGAATTACTGGGCCATGTCGTCCTCTGCTAAGTGTGTGGAGAGAAGTTTTGAGTTACTTCCCCGTGGCGGGCCCTGACCTCTCTGTTCCCATTAGATCAACCTGCATTCTGCACTGCAGCTGTGCAGCCTTTGAGATTGCTGGGCCCCTCTTCCCAGTCTGTGGGGATGAGGGTGCTTGTGGGCAGGGCCCTGCCTCCTTTCCTTGCCTGGCTGGGACTCCACACGCTCATACTGCCCCTGCTGTCTCTGCTGCAGCTACACAGCTCGTGTTCTATCAGCTCTCCCCATGCTTTCCCTACCTCAGATCTGTGTGCTCTCTTCGCTTCTGCAATGCTCTCCCCTCTTCTTTCCCTGGTCAACTCCTCTTGAGTTAGGCGCTCAGACATTACCTCCATGGAAGCCTCCTCTGACTGAGGCAGGTCCCCACCAGCAGCATTTCTGCACGCTGATTTCCTAGTCATGTCTTCAGAGCACGGGTCACAGGTCCAGTTTTGATTAACCACGTGTCTCCACCTCTGTTCCCTAGTCCTTGTTCCCAGCCAGCTTAGGCTGGGCAGGCACTCATGTTCCTAACTATTGGTGGCCCAGAACTGCTGTGGACCAAATGTTTATGTCTCCTCCAGCCTTTGTGCACCAACACGTTAATCCCCACAGGGAGGTGGGGCCTTGAGATATCATGAAGGGGGTGAGAATGCGTACCTTGCTGCTAAGTAACGAACGTGGCCTAGAAGGGCCCATTGGGAAAGAGAACCCTAGTGGTGGCAGCGGTGTGATCTGGTGGATTTGTGGAAAGCACCTGAGCTGACCACAGACATTCCCACACGGTTCTAGTTAGGTGATCAAATGACACTTTCTAACTGCTCAGCTGCTTTGGGGCCTTGCACTCACCTGAGGGTCCTAGCAAATACAGAATTTCAGGGGAAATTCTCCACAGAGGCATTTTACTATAAGTCAAACTGAGAGAGAGAGAGAGAGAGAGAGAGAGAGAGAGAGAGAGAGAGAGAGAGAGAGGTGAACATTGTCTGTCTCTAGGTTAAAGACAAGTTCATTTGTGAAGATTCTCTTCCTTTGTGCTCATCAGACATTTAAAAAAGAGAAAGTGTCACATTCTTCCTGGTCACAGATTCGGGGAGATGGAGTATGTCTTTGGCCACGTCCTTTCCAGTGCCCTGTGTTGCTGTCTACCAGAGGTGCATGTTAAAACAAACCAACAACTCTTGATGTACTCTCAGAAACAAGGGCAGTATCATTTTTGAATTCTTAAGATATTTTAAACATGTGGATAAAAAGCACTCAGGGCGTGAGGGTAGAGTGGTTGAGGGTTTCTTGCCAGCCGTGAGGTGACTTTAGTTACTTCTAGAGTGAAATAAGCCTCCAAAGGCAGATATTTTCTCTAGGCGACGAAACTTTTGCTATCAGGGGGATGCAGTGTAGATGATAGTGGTTTGGAGAGTCAATTAAGTGGTTTCTGGGGAGTTTCTACAAGTGTGGCACATATAAGCCAGACAGGGGGCAGTTACCCATAATCCCACTGGGGAGGTAAGACAGGAAGTTGGTATGTTGGAGACTAGCCTGCTGGGACATGCTGAGATGCTGTCCCAGGAGAGGGGTGAGGGGACCATAGATATAGGAAAAGCAGAACGTGTGTGTGTGTGTGTGTGTGTGTGTGTGTGTGTGTGTGTGAGAGAGAGAGAGAGAGAGAGAGAGAGAGAGAGAGAGAGGAAGTCTATTGATGAAATTCATAGGAAACAGCCTAGAAAGAATTTACTAGAAATTAGCATTGGTGTTGTACTTATTTTCTCTGTCCTTGCTTTATAAACTACCCGAACCTGTATTAATTATGCCAGCCATTAGCCTCAATTTAATGAAAACAAAAACTAAGCAAATGAACACAAGATTGCCATCAGATCTCAGCTACCATGTAAGATGGAGTCTTAGCACCTGGCGACCTCAAGAGAAGAAAGGAAGTTTTGGAACTGTTTCTGAAAAGTAGAAATAAATGATGACAACACAGTGACAAGCAGTTTGAAACATAAAATCCAGAAGGAGTGTTCTTACCCACATTCATAACTTACTTCAATCTATGAAATCTCTTGCTTTTGAAGAAACTGTGCTTAAAAGATGTGTGTGTGTGTGTGTGTGTGTGTGTGTGTGTGTGTGTGTGTGTGTGTGTGTGTGTGTGTTTCCTCAGTGCCTGCTACTGTCTCATGTCTGGTGTCTTTTGAGAATCGGAGAGGTTACCAGCCATCAACCACTGGAAACAACCTGGTTGTGTGCAAACAGGTTAATAATTAAATGGTTGTGGGGCTGCTTGTTCCTTATCTTCCTCTGTGGAGTAAGGATGCTTAGACAAGGATGGGCACCCATCTAGAACTTCCTTTTGGTCCCTGTGGGAAGAGGAGCTGAGGCCCTCATAGTGGCCTGTGAAGGATCTGACAGTCATGGTTTCTCTGGACAGAGGAGAGCAGGGCAGAGCCTTTAGAGCAGGGGTCCCTTGGCCAGGAGGCACAGAATGGTCATGGTCCCCAGCAGAGGGAGGGCTGACCTGTGACATGGCATTCGTAGGAGCTTGGCTGTCATTGGCAAAGCTGACTTCAGCAGGGTGGTTTCTCTTCAGGCTTCAGTTCCAGAGAACTAACAAGTTGCAGCCTGAACGGACATTGCATGAAGGCAGGCAAACACTGTCGTCTGGGGTAATTGGCTAAGGTTTTCTGAGTGCTTTGGAGCAATGGAGTTGGCCAATCCTGGCTTTTCATCTTGGCCATCTTAAGGGCAGTGATTGACTCAGCCATGTCAACCCTCTGAGCCAAATGGGAGTATCATTGTCTATCTAGAGGGACTGCTGCTATGACACACTGGGAAGAATGTGCCGATGTGTGTGAAGTGCCTGCCCTGTGCAGGCCTCTTGGGAAATGTTTCTCTTCCCTGCCTGTCCTCTTTCTGCTCACTCTATTTTTTTTTAAACAGAAGCACGCCTGGTTGTAGATGAGCAGGTACTTGAGTGTTCTTATTATTGGATTTATGTGGATTTAGCCTATAAGGATCCCTACCTATTGTTAAAAGTAAGCTTTTATTCTAAGTACTTCAGTAAGGGGGCTCAATGTGGGGTTAAAGAGGCATTGAGGAAAGCTGGTGTAGACCCTTTTTGGGGGGAACCAAGCCACCGGATAGTTGGCCCCAGTATTCCGACAGTGCCATCACCTTCTACCTAGGGTCTTCCTCTGCTACTGGAAAAAAGCCAGTTGCTCACTGGGCATCTGAGTAGCAGGGACTGAAATGAATTCCTCTGCTCTCTCCATAGGCCCCAGGGTCTCTGGGCATAGATCCTAGAGGCAGTGCTGTGGGAGTACTGTGTGTGGGTTTCAGAGAGGCCTTGGAGCCTGGTGCCTGTGTTTGCATTTGAGCTGAGGTAGCTGCAGTATGGCTGTGTAGGAAGACAGTGCTCATCCTCAAACAATATAGGCCAGGGAGTCTTTTCCTTCTATAAAGGTTTTGGGAAAAGGGGGCGGTGTGAAGATGTTCTTAGCTTTGCTCTCTGACAGTGTTGCTTGCATTCTGTCTGAGTCCTGTCTCTTCCTAGAGATGTGCCAGGGCTGTTAAGGCTGCAAATCACCACCAAAGAAATAGCTCAGTTCTACTCACAGATGGTCTTTCAAAGTCTTAATAATTTAGAGAAACTTTACAGTAGGCTTGTTGTATTTAGAAAAAGATCAAACATGGTTACTATTTAGTTTATACTTAATGCATTTGCTTAGTTTTTTTTTTTTAATGCAACAGGCTGATGCTTTTGATGTGCCTTGGCCGTTCATTCCTTTTGCCCACCGTGTGAGGGCTTCTGATTTCTAATATCATCTGTGTACTCAAAGCATTCTGATAAGGATAAGCCCTTACTCCCCACTAACATTTCTACAAGCATTATCTTTGTCTTTGGCCATGATGTATCATATTCAGGTGAAAGTTGAGTCCCTTGACTTTGCATGACCTGACACTGGGCTTCTTCTCTTTGGGAAGACAATATATCTTTATAAGGAGAAAACACCCCACCTACTGCATCCACTGAAGTAGATCGGATTTTCAGTGGCCACCCTGAAAACACAGAGGAAATCAGTCTCATCATGTGGGAAACTCATTGTTAAAGGGAAGTCACGTCCAAAATGAGGAAAGCAAATGAAATACCAATCCAGGGAAACAGCCTCATCTGGAAATCTGAACCTGAGGTTTCATCCTGGAGCCAACCCTCCCTATCCTTCCAGGAAGCAGGATGAAGTGGCCGTGTGGTGTTGGCTTTAAAACACCTACCGGTTTTCTACATCCGCCTTCAATTAACTGTGCAATCACCATTAGCAATGCATCTGTGCAAAGTGATCACAGAGCCAGGGCTCTCTTCTATTTGACTAGAAAAGGAAGCTTGAAACCTCTTAGAGGGTTGGAAGACAGCTGCCTCTGTTTCTCGATCATGGCCAGTTGAATTAAGGAATATTCTTTTTAGAAATGGGAGGAGGTCAAGGTAAAGGAAAAGTGCAGAACAAAGGTCCATGAGCAAAAGCAGTTGTTTCAAGTTGTAGGGCCCTTTGGTCACTGCAGAGATAAGCAGTTGGCTGGTCCTGGACAGAGCCAGCATGCAGTAAGCACTGAGATTGCAGCCACAACTAGTCTTTTGTCTTGGCATTTCCCAGTGTCGGTGTCCTGGGCACCTTGTAGATTGCCATTAAGATGTTTGTTTGACTTGGAGACCTCCTGTTGTCAAGACCTAGGGTAGGATGGTGATCAAGCAGTTCCCGTCACTTCTTCATTATGGGTTATATTAGTCAGTTTTCTGTGACTATGACAAATATTTTGGCTCCTCATTTTAGACATTTCATTTCATAGTCAGTTGACTGTGCTGCTTTTGGGCCTATGCAAGGTGGAACCTGATGGTGGAGAAAGCTACTCACCTCCTGGAAGCCAGGAAGCAGCAACAAGGAGGGGCCACAGTTCCAATAGCCTTTTTAGAAACATGACCCCAGGAACCTGATATCCTCCTGTTAGCCCCCACAGTTTGAAGATTCTACCACCTCCCCTTCGAGCCACCTTCAGGGGCAGGGGGTGGGAGGTAGATCAAGGCTTAGATACACAGGCTTTGGGGCTATTTTGTATCCACATTATAACACTGATCACCTTTCTGGTCACTGGGCTGTGGAGTAAATGTTAAAAACGATTTCCCCCTTTTGGGTTGATGCTAGAGAAACAAGCTATGTCCCTGGTCATCCTTGTAACTCTTGCTGGGAGAGAGTGGAAGGTGGACCCCATGACTTACTCATAACAAGCACTGCTGTGTGCCTGCTGGCTCCCTTCTGATATTATATTGTGATCTCACGGATCTGCCGCAGAGAGCCACATGGCAGCTGCTTTCAAGGTGTGGGGCTGAAAAGCTAAAGTGGTTTTTGTTCTCAATAACGAAAGCCGTCTTCCCAGACAGTGAGTAATGGAAGTAGGAAGGCCG